CTCCGGGTGCTCCAGTTTCCTCCCACACTTCAAAGACATGCTGGTAGGTTAATTGGATCCTGTCTAAATTGGCCCTAATATGTGTATGTATGAATGTAAGTTACGGACCTTAGATTGTACACCCCTTGAGGGTTAGGGACAGATGTGAATGTTCAATATATATATATGTAAAGCACTTTGTAAATTGACAGCGCTATATAAGTACCTGAAATAAATAAATAAATATAACCAGAGGTCCCCCTCTCAGGATGGAATGGAAGGGTTGCGCCATATTAACATTTTATCCTCCCTCTAGGTGGTGTACAGCTATACACATGTCTCCCTTGGTGAGTGTAGATAGGATTCAACCAGAGGCCTCCTTAATGGATGGATGGACACTTGTCTGCCAGTAATAGAACAGCTCCCTCCTCTGGAATAATGCCACTTGAAACTCTGCTACTGTATTATCCAGATGGGCTCTACAAATGTCAGCTCGCCAGAGAGCCAAACAAGAAGTAGCCCATAGTGTAGTAATTTTGTAAAGGTCACCATCAACTCCTGTATCAAGCACTTTACCATCAACTATCACAATATTTATTATTTTATTAACGAGATATGATGTTAGCGCTGCACTTTTATGAGTTATCAGTTTTACGAGGTTTTTATTTGGTTACCTTTGTGTGCTATAAATCAATAGATAAATAACCTCTTTAACTCAACTCCCACCAAAAAGTTACACTTTCTCCCTAGAAAGTACAAAATAATAAATCTACCTTTTTGTGATAAACCACATAAGTTCCCAAAGACAATATGAAAAATAAATCAAATAAATCAAATAAACCATAAAGTGTCCAATACAATTTCAGTCTCAAATGTGTCCAATAAAAAAGTCTCAAATGTGTCCAATAAAAAGTCTCAAATGTGTCCAATAAAGCCCAAAATCCAAATTTTTCCACTTCAATCCAGTAAGAAGGAATATAATCCTAATTATTCCACGAAAACCTCAAGAAAAAGAAATAATCTATAGTGCATTACCTTTAAACATATACATAACACTCCAATCCATGCAAAACACAAACCACTCTTTAAATGTGCAAAAAAAAAATATATATATATATAATATATAAATATATACAGTCAGGTCCAAAAATATTGGGACATGGAAACAATTCTAACATTTTTGGCTCTATACACCACCACAATGGATCTGAAATGAAACAAACAAGAGGTGCTTTAACTGCAGACTGTCAGCTTTAATTTGAGGGTGTTTACATCCAAATCAGGTGAACGGTGTAGGAATTACAACAGTTTGCATATGTGCCTCCCACTTGTTAAGAGACCAAAAGTAATGGGACAGAATAATCATAAATCAAACTTTCACTTTTTAATACTTGGTTGCAAATCCTTTGCAGTCAATTACAGCCTGAAGTCTGGAACGCATAGACATCAACAGACGCTGGGTTTCATCCCTGGTGATGCTCTGCCAGGCCTCTACTGCAACTGTCTTCAGTTCCTGCTTGTTCTTGGGGCATTTTCCCTTCAGTTTTGTCTTCAGCAAGTGAAATGCATGCTCAATCGGATTCAGGTCAGGTGATTGACTTGGCCATTGCATAACATTCATCTTCTTTCCCTTAAAAAACTCTTTGGTAGCTTTTGCAGTCTGCTTTGGGTCATTGTCCATCTGCACTGTGAAGTGGCGTCCAATGAGTTCTGAAGCATTTTGGCTGAATATGAGCAGATAATATTCCCGAAACACTTCACAATTCATCCTGCTGCTTTTGTCAGCAGTCACATCATCAATAAATATAAGAGAAGCAGTTCCATTAGCAGCCATACATGCCCACGCCATGACACTACCACCACCATGCTTCACTGATGAGGTGGTATGCTTAGGATCATGAGCAGTTCCTTTCCTTCTCCATACTCTTCTCTTCCCATCACTCTGGTACAAGTTGATCTTGGTCTCATCTGTCCATAGGATGTTGTTCCAGAACTGTGAAGGCTTTTTTAGATGTCGTTTGGCAAACTCTAATCTGGCCTTCCTGTTTTTGAGGCTCATCAATGGTTTACATCTTGTGGTGAACCCTCTGTATTCACTCTGGTGAAGTCTTCTCTTGATTGGTGACTTTGACACACATACACCTACCTCCTGGAGAGTGTTCTTGATCTGGCCAACTGTTGTGAAGGGTGTTTTCTTCACCAGGGAAAGAATTCTTCGGTCATCCACCACAGTTGTTTTCCGTGGTCTTCTGGGCCTTTTGGTGTTGCTGAGCTCACCGGTGCGTTCCTTCTTTTTAAGAATGTTCCAAACAGTTGTTTTGGCCACGCCTAATGTTTTTGCTATCTCTCTGATGGGTTTGTTTTGTTTTTCCGCCTAATGATGGCTTCACTGATAGTGACAGCTCTTTGGATCTCATCTTGAGAGTTGACAGCAACAGATTCCAAATGCAAATAGCACACTTGAAATGAACTCTGGACCTTTTATCTGCTCATTGTAATTGGGATAATGAGGGAATAAAACACACACTGGCCATGGAACAGCTGAGAAGCCAATTGTCCCATTACTTTTGGTCCCTTAACAAGTGGGAGGCACATATGCAAACTGTTGTAATCCCTACACCGTTCACTTGATTTGGATGTAAATACCCTCAAATTAAAGCTGACAGTCTGCAGTTAAAGTACATCTTGTTTGTTTCATTTCAAATCCATTGTGGTGGTGTATAGAGCCAAAAATGTTAGAATTGTGTCCATGTCCCAATATTTATGGACCTGACTGTATAAACCAAAACGTGAGCACTCCGTGATCCCTCCAATATTGTGTGCACTCTGTGATCCAGCCAACAGTGATACTAAATACTATTACCCTCTGGGAGTATTCATATGCATAGGTTATATTATGGAATCAGACTCTTCCCATTCCTTCGCTTCAGGGGTACTCCTCCAAAGTCCTCATAAAAGTAAGAAGACTCTTAGACAGATCTCAAAAGTGTAGGGACAAATGTATTCATAACTTACATTTAAAATAAAGAACTTCCAGCTCACACCATAGCTTTCTCAATGGCTCTGTAATGACTCTGCAAACATTTGGCTGAAACCCATGTGTAGACAACCAACAAAATGGCCACGGCGACACTTTGTGTGCTATAGCGGCTAGATTTTATATAGCGCTCACTGATCCTATTTTAAGGTTTACCTAATAAAGCGGCCAGTAAGTGTATATTTAATGAAACATTATTGATAAAGCAGCCCATGGATGATTTTTATTTTCGTTCCTTCCACCACGGGGGCAGGGGGAAGGGGAGGAAAGAAAATCGCTTTATTCCACCATCAACACAGTAAGTGTTGAGGGGGGAATGCCTCCCAGAGTGCTATTGTGTTCTCCTGGCAGGTGGTGGTGGGGAAAGCTTTCCTGGCCCGCAGAACACAATGAGTATTGCTAGCAGCTATAGCTGCCAGCAGTAATCGTATGTAAAAAATTTGACAGGCTGGACAGACTAAGTCGATCGACTTGGGTATAATTAGCCTGCCCATAAATGGATCTTGGCTGATCCTTGCTGAACTTCGATCCATGTATGGCCTGTATGAACTGTAATTATTTGTTTCTTTTACACCAGCCTTAAAGAAACACCAAATGACACCAAAAGACAGTGTCTGTGCAAAGGGGCCTCCCTGGCCCAGTGATACCCTTCACCTTGCTAAAGCTCCCTTCCATTCCTTTCCATGCCTCACCATGTAAGTTATCTCAAAGCAGATCTATCCTCAAAATATAAAGTTTGGCTTGCAAACATTATTTCATTAGTTACTCTGTGGAGCCCAGGAGGACATCTTTACATATTTTTTTCAGATTATTTCATTAGAATATAATAATGTGACAAAGCAAATAAAAAGTGAACCATTAGCTCACAATTCCTAATAAAAAAAAATGCTTCCACACAGACGACTGATGTCTAGGCACCAGTGGTGGATTCCTCTTGGGGCAAATCTTATGGCCACACAGCTTCCAAGGCTCCTAGGGGGTAATGCCACTGTTGGTGGACCTTGTGTGTACAAGACACAGTGCTCAAAAGTTTGCATACCCTGGCAGAAATTGTGAAATTTTGGCATTGATATTGAAAATATGACTGATCATGCCAAAAAAATGCTCTTTTACTGAAGGATGATGATGATCATATGAAGCCATTTATTATCAAATAGTTGTTTGGCTCCTTTTTAAATCATAATGATAACAGAAATCACCCAAATGGCCATGATCAAAAGTTTCCCTGGAATGTTTGGCCTTGGTACAGACACACAAGATGACACACACGGGTTAAAATGTCAATTAGAAGTTAATGTCCCACATTTGTGGCTTTTTAAATTGAAATTAGTGTCAGTGTATAAATAGTCAATGAGTTTGTTAGCTCTTACATGGAAGCACTGACTAGACTACATACTGAGCCATGGGGATCAGAAAAGAACTGTCAAAAGTCCTGTGTAACAAGGTAATGGAACTTTATAAAGATGAAAAATGACATAAAAAGATGTCCAAAGCCTTCAATATGCCAATCAGTACTGTTAAATCACCTATTAAGAAGTGGAAAGTTTGGGGATCTCTTGATACCAAGCCAAGGTCATGTCTGAGTGGCTCTGTACCATGTGATCACAGTGATGACCAATCACAGTGATCACAAATGTAAACCCTGTAGTGCTAACATTGGAGAAGGAATGTATAATTCATTGATTAGTTCAATATCAGTGAGTTCCAAGGTTGTGGGATAACGTTTAACCCTTTCATTGTTTTGTTTAGATATTTATGCAGCAGATTGGGTTGAAGGGCTTTAGGGTGAGAGCAGATTTGTTTGCATTTGTTTCTTACTTGACTTGCACTTTAACCCCTCACCTCTTCCTTCCTCTATGTATGACCTGTACTCTTGAGGAAGATTTACTAAAACTGGTGAACCCAAAATCTGGTGCAGCTCTGCATAGTAACCAATCAGCTTCCAGATTTTATTGTAAAAGCTTAAAGTGTTACTAAACCCCAGACCCTTCATTCACTATATCTGATCTCCTCGGACCCTGCATTCACTATATCTGGTCTCCCCGGACCCTGCATTCACTATATCTCTCCCCGGACCCTATTCACTATATCTGGTCTCCCCGGACCCTGCATTCACTATATCCCGGGTCTGGTCATCACTATATCCCGGACCCTGCATTCACTATATCCGCCCTCCCCAGACCCTGCATTCACTATATCTGCTCTCCCCGGACCCTGCATTCACTATATCTGGTCTCCCCGGACCCTGCATTCACTATATCTGGTCTCCCCAGACCCTGCATTCACTATATCTAGTCTCCCACAGCACACAGAACATGGAAATGCAATTATTTTAGTAAATATAAACTGCTAAATACCTTTTCTCATCAGCAGTTAGAATAATCTTCAGCAGAGCACTGGTTAAAGCTTTTAGGAGGAGTTTTCATTCTCCCCTGATTGTCCTATGAGTCTGCAGGACCCCTCACCCTCTGTCTGGACAGCACCGATTGGCCCTGTGCTGATCACATGCATCCTCCCAAGAAAAAAAAAAACTCTCTAGCAATATACACCAAACTGAGCATATGCAGTTTACCCCCAAGGCTCTGTTCTATCAGCAGAATGATTGGGGACTGAAGAAGAAGGGGAGGATCAGAGAAGACAGGATCAAACAGCCTTTTACACAATGCAGAGGATTAACCCCTTAGGTTCCACAGTGAGTATAACAAGTATGCTTTACTGCATATACAGACTGATTTTACTGTTAAGGGATTAGTAACACTTTAATTGAACAAGCTGAAGTTAGAAGCTGATTGGTTACTATGCAAAGCTGCACTACATTCTGTGTACGCCAGTTTTAGTAAATCTTCCCCTTAGTGCAGAGGTGTCAAACTGGTGGCCCTCCAGCTGTTGAGAAACTACAAGTCCCATCATGCCTCTGCCTTTGGAAGTCATGTTTGTGACTGTCAATCTTGCAATGCCTCATGGGACTTGTAGTTTGACAACAGCTGGAGGGCTGCCAGTTTGACACCCGTGCCTTAGTGTATCTAACACACCATTACCAAGCTCCATGTTTTAACCCCCTCAATATCAGCACGTTTCTTCATTAAAAAAAAAATTACAAAAAATGAGATCACCTTTGGGTGACTACATTCCAAAAAGAGATTTTTTTTTCAATCTTTGGCCTTTTTTCTTTTATACAGTATTTATTTTATTTATTTATTTATCGAGTTTATATAGCGCCAAAGGGTTTGCTCAGCGCTGTACAATAGAGGGGGGGACAATACATGAAACAGTACAGTAACATCAAACAGCACACAAGGGGTAAGAGGGCCCTACTCTTTTGAGCTTACAATCTAGGAGGGAGGGGGTAGAGGTACAGGAGGAAACGGCTGTGGGGGATGGAGTGGTAGGAGGAGGGAAGGGCAGCGGCTGTTAGGTGAGGGTGGGGTAGGCTTCCCTGAAGAGGTGGGTTTTCAGGGAGCGCCTGAAGGTGAGGAGGGAAGGTGACAGTCTGATGGATTGGGGTAGTGAGTTCCAGAGGATGGGGGAGGACCTGGAGAAGTCTTGCAGTCGTGCGTGGGAGGAGGAGACCAGGGAGCAAGATAGAAGCAGGTCCTGTGAAGAGCGAAGGGTACGGGTAGGGTGGTACCTGGGAATCAGGTCGGTGAGGTAGTTAGGGGCAGTGTTGTGAATGGCCTTATAGGTCAGAGTGAGCAATTTGAATTTTTAATGCGTTGGGCGATAGGGAGCCAGTGGAGGGAGAGGCAGAGAGGGGGGCAGAGGTGGAGCGGCTGGTGAGGTGGATGAGTCTGGCAGCTGAGTTCAGGATGGTCTGAAGCGGGGAGAGCCTGCACTGGGGTAGGCCAGTGAGGAGGGAGTTGCAGTAGTCAAGGCGTGAGATAATCAGGGAGTGTACGAGTAGTTTAGTGGTGTCTGGGGTAAGGAATGGAGCGTATCTTGGCGATGTTGCGGAGGTGGAGCCTGCATGTGTTTGTAAGTGATTTGATATAAGGTTGAAAGGAAAGGTTTGAGTCCAGAATGACGCCAAGGACCTTGGCTTGCTGGGCGGGATTGATGGTGGTGTTGTTGGTAGTGATGGAAAGTATGGGGGGGGGGGGGCGCGGGCTGGGGGGAAGACGAGAAGCTCGGTTTTGGAGAGGTTGAGCTTGAGGAAATGGAGCAACATCCAGTCAGAGATGTCCTTTAGTAGAATAATAATAAAAAAAACAAGGGTTATCAAATACCTTTCATCAGTTTTAAAAAATGATATTGATTTAGTTTGGGTACAGTGTAATTGTCAGTCAAACTGTCGCAGCACTTAGAAAAAGTTCTGGTAATAAAGAGGTTTTACAAGTTGGCACTCATGTCATAGAAGCATGGGAAAAAAGAAAAAAAAAGATAGGGAAGAGTAAGGGCTCATGTACACTACAGATGATAAACTCACGTTTAGGAGCTGTTCAGCGTTTTTTTTTTCAGCAGCCCCTGAACTCCCTAATGTTTTCCTATGTGTCCATGTACACATCGTCATTTACAGTCGTTTTACAGGCATTTGAGTTTACAGTCGTTTTTTTGAACACAGAAAACTTGCGTTCAGCAGTCAATTTTATCAGCGTTTCAAACGCAAAATGCTTCTAAACGCGGCAAATTGCGTTTACAAGCATTTGCGCTTGAAATTTGTTTTTAACTCTTCCAGTTCCTGATGCTGTCCAGAGACTTTTTTCATCTTGAAAAATGCATGAAAATGTGTTTTCAAGGTACTCAGATGAACAAAACACTGAACACAGGATGTTCCTACCAAGCTTGTCACACATTGTAATGACCAATTCACACCTCAGACCTCTCCCACCCTTGGAAACAAAAGATATGTTAATGACCATTCACACCTCAAATTCCTCATGAAGACCCCCTGCCAGGTGGCCTTAATGACTCACTCCAGCAGACACCTTTCCCACTCTAGGAAACAAAAGAAATGTTAATGAGCAACTCACACCTAAGCTAATCTCAACACATACTGCTGTCTCTGCTTCTACTCTCTGTATTTCTCTGAAACAGTCTGAAATAGTTAATAATTTACCACTTTTCAGTACTTTCTGGGCATTTGGGAGGTTCTCCTGTGCTTATCTTTAAAAAATGCTTCTAAACGCAAACGCACATAAACGCAGTATGCAAACGCGGCTAAACAGATGTTTTTAACCTACGTTTTCCAGCAGTCAGTTTCCATCATTCAGAAGTGTCCTGGTAGTGTACATGGGGCCTTAGATTTTTTTTAATATGGCGCAACTGGGACAGAAACCAAAGGAAAATATTCCCAATGGGGTCACAATTTTCTAAACAATATACTGTCACTGTAAATTGGGACATGTCACGAAATGTTTCATGCAGACTTTACAGAGTATCTGAAATTAATACAAAAATGTAATACATTGCAGTTGACCAGACCGTAGATGTGGTGGCTGCATTAGTTTTCCTTTTTAGGCTTCATCACCTCCATTGTCAGCTTGTAACACACTTTCAGCGCAGCAGAAGCACAGCATTGTCAGATCGCTACAGTTAGTCAGAAGTTCGCTGGATTTCAGGAAAAATCAACTCTTTTTTTTTACTTTGTATATTTTGCACTGATGAAACAGAATACTATGATTATTGTTCAGGTTTTTTTTATAGCGCCAACAGTTTACACAGCACTTTACAATATAAAGAAAGACAGTATAATTACAATACAATTCAATACAGAAGGAATAGGAGGAGGGCCCTGTTCATGGAACTTACGACCTAAAGCAGTGGTCTCCAAACTGTGGCCCGAGGGCCGGATGTGGCCCATAGGGCACTTTTCCTCCCAATTATAAGGGGCAGTATTCCTCCCACTGACACCAACAATGGGGCATAATTCCTGCCACTGACACTAATGATAGAGCACTATTCCTCCCACTGACCCACTGAAGGGGCATTATTCCCTCCCACTGACACCAACAAAGGGGCAATATTCCTTCCATTGACACTAATGATAGGGTACTATTCCTCCCACTAACACCAACAGTGGGGAATAATTCCTTGCCACGGACACTAATGATAGAGCACTATTCCTTCCACTGACACCAACAATGGGGCATAATTCTTGCCACTGACACTAATGATAGAGCATTATTCCTCCCACTGACACCAACAAAGGGGCATTATTCCTCTCACTGACACCAACAAAGGGGCATTATTCCTCCCACTGACACTAATGATAGGCTACTATTCCTCCCATTAACACCAACAGTGGGGCATAATTCCTGCCACTGACACTAATGATGGGACACTATTCCTCCCACTGACACCAACAAAGGGGCATTATTCTTTCCACTGACACCAACAAAGGGGCACCATTTCTTCCGTTGATCCCAATGATGGGGCACTACTTCTCCCACTGACCACCAACTCTGAGGTCATGTTTATTCTTACTGAGGCTGGGCCCGGAACAAATTCTACCACCACTGGCCCCCATAAATTCTGAAGGACAGTAAACTGTCCCTTTGCTTGAAATGTTTGGAGACCTCTGATCTAAAGGGAGGGGGAGGAGCTTCAAAAGGCACTAGTTGCAGCGGATGGTGTGATGGAGGTGATTCAAATACAGTTTTTATATTTAATGGAGCAAATAAGAAAAGTTAATTGTTAGAGTTTATTTACACTATAAGCATCTTAGAGGATCCTCTGTGTGCCTGAATTTTACTTTTGCCACCAGTTTTTCATCACTTAGTACATGTTCTCTCGAAAGTAAAACACCATTTTATCTCCTCATTATGTACTATACAGAGCAGCTGGGCAATGCATAGATATTTTGCAATCTGTTGTATGCCACAGCTACACCCAAAGTTGAATAATATACTTTTGAATATGTGTTTTTTTTTTTTTTTTTTAAAGAAATATTTGCATAAGAACAGCAACAGTGCCCCCTAAAGGCAGGATGCAGCCAGCCAATTGTTATAGATTGTGTCTAAGAGATGAGGGAGAATTGCCACAAAAAAATTACTAAATTATACATATTATTCTGCTGAATTATGCATTAGATGAAGAATTTATTATTGTTTTGGAAGTGACTGCGTAGCCATTATTATGCAGGCTCAATAATTTTGTTACGGGAACTAAATTGAAAATTTAATTAGGGTTTCTAGATTTTAATGTTAATTAATATTGCTGTATCTATTTTAATAGGCATATAAAAAGTATTAGCACTCTCAAGTTATTGTAATGTAAAAAAAATTGTATTCATTGTTATGAGGCACCGATACAGATTCAAATAATATAATTAAACATATTGAATATTTTTTTTTTAATATATATTTT